ACCACCGCATTGATGCAGACTCATGGTGCGTCAATAGGACAGGGTCGAACTGGCTCTGAGACCACAACTCTTTCTGAGAGTAGAAAGCCCCATCTTTCTCCCGCGAAGAAGCTGGTGGTTTTGAACTGTTGACCTAGAGAATCACAGCTTAAGGAGAAACCATTATGCCACCAGGACTCCATTCCCAACAATAAAATGGGTGTTAAATGTGTTATATTCTATAGCCATAATAGAACGTAAGTTCCACAGAACAGTGGTTTCTGTCCATTTTGTTCAATCCATTTTCCACAGTGCCTAGAACATGTCTTACAGGTAATAAATTCATCACCATCACCCCCAGTTGCTGTGGAGTAGATTCTGACTCGTAGTAATGCCATGTGTTTCAGGCTAGAAGCACAGTTTTAAAGATGTTGCATGGATTTGACCTTTTAGAAGATTGCCAAGCCTTTCTCATGCGGCATCTCTGGGTAGATGCCAACAATTTGTTGGTTAGTTAGCCAAGGATTTTGTGTTACCGAAGGGCTCCCATGTAGTAAATAGGTGTCAATACATGTTTTATTTTTTAAATAATTAATTATTGGAATTTATAATCAAGCTACAAGTTGAAGAATCCAAAATGTCTTCCCTACTGCTAGTCTTATCTTCATTGCTATTATTATATAAGGCAATGCTCATGGAAGAAGCAGTCAAATCGAAATATGTATTGCAATGAGCAAATCTGCTGCAAAAGATCTCTTCAAAGTACTATTGAAGTCAACGGACATCACTTTGAGAATGAATGCGCACCTGAACCCAAGGCATGCTATCTTCATTCACCTCAAAGTCATGTGAAAGGTAGCCAACGATGAAGGAAGACTATAGAAATATTGATGCATTTGAATCATGGTGCTGTCCGAGAATATTAAAATCACCAGGAACTGCCAGAAGAACAAACAAATCTGTCCTGAAAGAGGTACAACCAGAATGTACTTTAGAAGCAAGGATGGCAAGGCTTCATCTCACATACTTCAGGCATATTATCAGAAGAGAACAATCCCTGGTAAAGAGCATCTTACTTGGTCAAGTGGAGCATCAGTGAAAAATGGGAGTCCATCAATGAAATAAATTAACGCAGGGGCTGCAAGAATGGACTCAAACATTTGTGACGGTAGTGCAGGACAAGGCTATGTTGCATTTTGTTGTCCATAGGATCACTGTGAATCAGAATTGATTTGATGGCATCTAACAATAATAACATTATACAATGCATATATTATAATTAAGAAAACTTGTTGCTAGTAACTCACGACAACCCCACGTGTTCTGAGTACGAGGCCCGCAGGGTTTCCAAGGCTGAGACTTTGGGAAGCAGATTGCTATCCCTGCCTTTTGGGGTGCTTTCAGGTGGGTTCTAACCATCAACCTCTTGGCTAGAAATTGAGCTAAAATCAGTTTGAACCACCCAAGGACACCTAAGAAAAAAATAATACTTGACTTATGAAATGATGATATTTTATTTCAAACATATCATCTCACACTTTATTCTCACAATGATCCCTATGATGCTTTATTTGGAGAAGAAAGAGGAACAACACGAAGGTAAAAACTATTAATTTCCCAACCATGGGCAATTTATTTAATTTACCAACTAAATAGACAGTGAGCAATCAGCCAAGGAGATAGATTTACAATGTTTCAAATGTAGTACAGAGATTAAGAAATTTGACCAATTTCTAA